TGTCATAATATGCAAATAGTCCCTTTCTCACTTGTTTGGCGAGTGTGAGATAGATGTGAAGATATGGAATGTTGTTTCTCATTGGTTGGAGCTCGATTTGCCTTGACACTTAGGGTTTCAGTCTTTCAGATATAGTGCGTTGGGTGTAGTGGTTGCATGTTTCATTGATCAAGAAATATGTGATTGATGTTATTGTCAAAACCACTTATTAAGTGCTTTTGAGACACATGAAAGATGTGGTCTTCTAGATAACATGTGTAGACGGGAGCTTATTTTTTATTCAGTTATTGATTTATATTTTTTGTGGTATTCTAATATGAACTGTAAAATTAACTTGTCTTGTGTATCTTGGCTCCAAAACCACATGAACATTATGTAATTTTATAGCTCCTTGATAGTTTTGGAATATAAATCTTTCATCGATTAAAAAAAATTATATCGGTTATTCTTTTGCAATGTCACTGAAAAGCAACAAAACAAAAAACTTTGCTTGTGTTTGGCGTTGGATTTTTAGAAGTTTTTAGCTTTTAATTTTCTAAAAAAAGCCCCAATGTAACACTTGATTCTTGGTAAGCATTTAATTCTAGGAATCTTTATATTTTTCTCTATGACTCGACGAATTGTTGGCCTAACTCGTCAAGTAGAGTTGTGACCCGCGGGAAGTTTAAGTGACCGACTCGGCGAGTAGGTGTTGTTTGAGTGAAACCCTAAATTTAAGGGTTTGCACCCTATTTAAACAACTTATATCTCCCTATCTCAGCCTCCATCGTCCATTATACTTCCAAAAGGAATTATCTTGAAACCTTAACCTTGTTTGAGTGTTCTAAGGCCATTTTGTGCATTTTGGTGGATTGTGAAGCTTGAGAAGGGGAAAGGAGCTTGGGAGTTCAAGTTGGAGCTTGGAGATCCAAAGATTGTGTTCCATTTCCAACTCATTTGAAGTAAAAAGCTCCTATCTTGATCTTCCATGTGTTTAATCATTTTTAGGGCTTGGATCTTTGTATATTTAAGGCTTTCTAAGCCATTTTCAGGTTGTGAAGTGTAATATGGAGTTATGACTTCAGATCTTGGACTTTTGAGGGGTCTCATGGCATAAAGGTGCCAACTTTATGGCCATGAGAGCCTCATACATCTTTTAGACATCATTTTTGGTCCTTTAGAGCTAAAAGACCCATGCATGGACGTAAAGTTTGTGGCTTTACGTGCTATATCGACCATAGGAGGTCAGATATACCCTTTTTATGAGACGAGCTTAGCAAAAACCGAGTTTGTGAACATAGACTTTAGTGGACTTGACGAGTTGTTCTTGTGACTCGGCGAGTCGGGTAGTGGTTCTCTAACCTTTGATGTTTTAGGGGTCTGGTTGAGTCTAGAGAAGGACTCAACAAAGATGGACGAGATTGTAAACTTGTAAATCATGGGGCTCGAAAAGTGCATGAGCAAACTCGGTGAGTCCAAGGTAATCTCCCAATCCATGAAGATGAACTCGACGAGTTGTTCATACAGCTCGGCGAGTCATAGACCGGACACATTCAAATGAGGGAAATGAACTCAACGAGTCGGATGAACGAGGTGTGTGATGCGTGTGGCCGACCGAGATCAAGTAAGTTTTCCCCAAGATACCCATACTTGTTATGTTATGGTATATGATGTGATTACGAGAATTGCATGCTAGATTAGGGCTAAGGATCTAGGAGGATGCCTTGTATAACTGTTATGTGCTTATGAGAACTACATGCTAGAATATGGCTAATGATCTAGGAGGATGCCTTGTATGTCTGATATAGGAACTTATTGATTCGTATGTTAGAGCTGCTAGTCAGCAGTGTGATAGCCGGATTAGGTTATGCTTGATTTGGTTACTCAATGCACGAATGCTGCTTGCTTTGTGCTATAAGGGTTATGTATAACTTTAACTAACTAGTAAGTGAATATGTAACAGTATTCGCAAGCCAGTTAGGGAAAGGTGGTATGGACCCCTAGTGCAGCTGACAGCGGAGAGTAGGTCGGAGGGTGCCCTAGGAAAGCCTATGATGAGATTAGTTGGAAAACAGTTTTGGTAAAGGGACTTGGGGAAGTTGAAGCAATCCTTGAGGAAAGTACAGATAGATGTGGAAGGTAGTATGGGCCCGTACTACTAGAAGCAGAGGATCCGTACTCAAGTCAAGGAGGGAAAAGATGGAACCAGGAAACTTGGAGAATGTGCAAGACCTCTCGAGAGTATGAACGATCCTGGCGTTTATGTGTTTATTTTCAGTATGGTGACCACGCGACATGGAGCAGGTGGTTTAGGATGTAGGTCAGGATCAGGATCGGGTTCGGGTGCGGGTGTCGAGCAGGTTGATGACGGGCTACGCGAGTTCATCGCGTCTGAGATCACGAGAGGTATCCTTGAGGCGACCTCGATCATTTTTGGGTCGATCAAGGAAGGATTATCGAGCTGATGGAGGATCACCTCCGGGTATTCAGGAGTGATTTGACATCTAGCCAGACGGGTACACACACACTGTCCTTGAAGGACTTCAGGGGGAGTGGTACGCCGGATTTTCATGGGGTGAAGGACCTCATTGTTGCTAGGAGATGGATCGCATATATTGAGTCTACACAGTTGACGAGCTTCTGCTCGAAACGGTCGAAGGTTCGCTTTGTTGCATGTTGTTTGAGGGATCGAGCCGGATATTGGTGGGAGTTAGTTGGTGATTCATTGGGGGCCCAACCATTGAGGCTATGACTTGGTCGAATTTCGTGACCATGTTTAGGGCTGAGTTTGCGCCAGCTATGGAGCTTCAACAACTGGCCATAGAGTTTTCTTGATATGAGACAGACTACGGAGACTGTGGTGGAGATCACTGCCAAGTTCCAGGAGAGGGCCTTGTTGGTACCTCAGTATGCAGGAGATGAGGAGATGCGGAAGACCTGCTATTCGAGAGCATGTCGACTATTCGGCCTGCCCAACTTTGGAATCCATGATTGCTAGGATGTGGGAGAGGGAGATTGATTTGGAGCACCTCGCGAAGAGGAAGGCAGAGACTGAGTAGATTACAGGGATTTCGGGGAAGAAACCCAAGGGATTCGACGCTAGGTCGAAGGGCCAATAGGGTCGGGAACGCTGTGGGAAGTGCGGTTGGTCACATGAGGGAGTTTGCAGCACTGGGTCGGGATCAGGCTGCTATAAGTGCAGCAAGACTGGGCATTTTGGCATGGATTATACTTCCCCTGCTCCTACGGTTCATACATCATACTTGAGTTGCTTTCATTGCAACCAAAGGGGCCATAAAAGGCCAACTGTTCCAGATTGATGGCAACAACAATGGCACCAAATCTAGCGACGACACGGGTTATGGATGCCCGAAAGGTAAAGTCAGAGGCTCCAGTGGTGCAGAGCCGAGCGTTTCAGTTGACAGTCGAGGAGGCGCGCGCAACACCCGATGTGGTGACAGGTATGATTTCTTCTCTCAAATATTTTATGTTATGACGCTATGATTTTGATATGTTTTATATATATATATATATATATATATATATATATATATATATATATATATATATATATATATGCGTGTGTGTGTGCGCACTTTGTTTAGGATCGTTCCATTTGAACGGTATCCCAGTTCAGGTGTTGTTTGATTCGAGTGCTACCCGATCGTTTGTCTCTCTTGCGCTTAGCAAGAGGTTTCCTGAGTCATCAGGCATGTTGGATTGCCCTTTAGAGGTGGAGATTGCGGACGACCGATCGGTGTGAGCATCGAAGGTTTTCAGATATTGTGTTTTGAGATTGTTTGAGGAGCGCTGCCTGGTAGACTTGGTTCCTATACCATTGCGAGTGGACAAGGTTATTATAGGAATGGATTGGCTAATCCCCAATGGGGCGGTGATCGATTGTGCGCAGCTGTTGGTACGGATTAGGACCTCGCGTGGGGGAGAGCTGTTGATTCAGGGCGAGAGGCCATAACAAGGACTAGCCTTATGTTCAGTAGCAAGCGTTAGGCGCTACCTCCAACAAGGTTGCGCATGATATGTTGCCTACGTTATGGATACTCGGGAGGCGGCTAAGGCGATGTGCCAGTGGTACGAGAGTTCGCGGATGTATTCCCTGAGGAGCTGCCTGGGATACCTCCAGAGAGGCATGTAGAGTTCAGGATCGACCTAGTCCCTGGTGTGGCTCTGATAGCCAAGACACGACATCGGTTGGATCATCCTGAAATGCAGGAGTTGTTTACTTGTCTACACAGTTGCGGGAGCTGTTAGACAAATGATTCATTAGACTGATCAGTTCTCCCTGGGGAGCCCCAATTTTATTTGTGAAGAAGAAGGATGAATCGCATCGGATGTGTATAGATTATCGGGAGCTGAATAAGGTAACAATGAAGAACCGTTACCCACTCCCGATGATTGATGATATCTAGAAGTTGAAGTTAGTAGTTATTACTTTTATTTGTTATACGAATGTTTCACAAAAATACTTGAAAGTTTCCAAACCATATAAAATTACATAAAAATCAATTATTTAGAAAAAACACATATATAAATATATTTAAAAAAGAATTTTATAATTAAATTAAAAACTAAAAACTCGTAGAAACTTGTAATAAGAAAAAAAAAATTTCAACAAAATAACAAGACACCCTAACATAAACATGTCACACCTATAATGAAAAAAATATGTGGTATGTTTAAGGAATAATGCAAGTTTAAATAAATATTTTATTTTTAATTTAAATGTAATACAAGTTTAAATAAACTAACTTACTTAGCCCACACAAAAATAAACCAATTAATTGATAAATTTAACTTGTAAACGTTCGTCAATGTTATTTTGTTTACAGTTAATTATTTTTCATTCGTGTACAAATCTATCTCGCATATGTTAAAAGTTATTTTGGATAATATAGTTTGTAAAATAACAATTGTAAAAATATAATTTTCTTTCAACGAGGTTAACTTATCTCACTATTAAATAAAGATAACTAAATTTAAATTTCGAAAATTAACATGCGCCAATGGTCAATGGACACTCAGGCAGAAAGCACATCACACGGATCGGGATCCTCAGCATGCATCACCGTCCATTTTATTCACAATCAAACGGCTCCAATTATCTCACAGCATTTCATCCGCCACCACTCGCTCCATCGCCACTAACTCAAAACTTTCAAATCCTGCCCTTCTTCAAAACCCACATCTATAAACTCCCACATCATTCATCAACAAACTCATCTCACTCCTCACTCGATCAGAACACAAATTCAGCATCTCACCTTGAGCTAGTTTCAACAATGTCGGGACGTGGAAAGGGAGGCAAGGGACTCGGAAAGGGAGGAGCAAAGCGACACAGGAAGGTTCTTCGTGATAACATCCAGGGAATCACCAAACCCGCCATCCGAAGATTGGCTCGTCGAGGAGGTGTCAAGCGTATCAGCGGCTTGATCTATGAAGAGACTCGTGGTGTTCTCAAGATCTTTCTTGAGAACGTCATCAGAGATGCTGTAACCTACACCGAACACGCTCGCCGCAAAACTGTTACTGCGATGGATGTCGTCTATGCGTTGAAACGACAGGGCCGTACCCTATATGGGTTTGGTGGTTAGGTCTAGGGTTTTGGTTGTGTGTTAGCGTGTATTCACTGTAGATCGTATCTAATTTCTCCTTCGTTGTATCCTGTTTCAATATCGTTGTCATACCCCATCTCGGGGTTTGAATTTATGTTAAGAAAATCCTCCTATTTCTATAATCGTCTGAGTTTCATCATCCAAATCTATAAGCATTGAATTACTGTTGTATTTTACATACAATTAATTTTCACCATATGTTACAAATCTGAGGAGGTTCTGAATATTCGTTATCTTTCAAGTTTGTTCTAATGTTGTTGTCTTTTTTGAGTGGTTCCTAATTATTGTTAGGATATTGTTTACAATTCCTATCAATTTTAATATTGAAAGTGGCAATGAGTGATTGGTACTTTGTTCTTCCATCAACGGTAGATCTAGGTTCTCTCCATGTGGGTCCAAATAATATATCAGTTTGCTGGGGCACGTGTAGATTCTTAGATACATACATATAACATAGCATTAGCTTTGTATATTTGCCAGATTCCTCTAAGAGTTCCAGAACAAAAACCCTTTTCGGAGCGAGTTGGGTTTTGAATTTCAATCAAGCTGGCGAAGTATTTCACTCAACGCGACGTAACTCCGGCCAACGGCCGAGGGGATTCCGGATGCTGGTCGTTTCAGGCTGCCGGTGCCGTCCCCGACATGGGTATGCCGAGTGATGATGCGGTGGTGATTCAGAAAGGGAAGAAACAAGGGGACCCATTTGTAATTACGGTCAATTGCCCCGATAAAACTGGCCTCGGTTGCGATATCTGTTGGATTATTCTTGATTTCGGGCTATATATCGTTAAAGGAGGTTAGTACTTTTCTTTAATTTATCTCATACGATTTCTCATATATATATCATCCCCCAAAATCCAATGTGTATGTTCTTTAGGGTTCAAATATTTCTCATTCAATCAATCTGTGTATGTTCTATAGGATTCGGGTATTACTCAAACTATCGTTTTTCATGTTCTTGTGTTTTTTCTCGAGTTAATACCATGCGATGCCACATTATGTTATTTCGTAACCCTAGAGGTTCTTTTGAGTTAGAGAATCCATTCTTTTCCTGTTTAATTATGAAATTTGTGTATTTTGATTAGATTTTACAACCGATGGAATATGGTGCTACATAGTATTATGGGTGTTCCCTCATCCAACTTCACCTACTGTAAGATGGTCAACCCTAAAAGAGCGTCTCCTTTCCATATGCCCCACTTTTTCTGTATCAGCTTACTTAAATGAAACACCCCCAAAACCTTCACCTTCTCCAGTCTACTTATTGACATTCTGCAGCACTGATCGAAAGGGATTATTAAATGGTACTTTTTTCATCATGTAGTTTACTTTTGTATTATATTCATTTCACAATCTGATGTGTTGTTTTTTATTTTTCATTTAGATGTGACTCGAGTGCTTTTTGAGCTTGAGCTTATGATCCAAAGAGTTAAAGTGACAACAACACCAGATGGACGTGTCATGGATCTATTCTTTATTACCGATAACTTGTGAGGGTTTGTTTCTTAATACTCCTTTGCACTCTGTTATTTCAATTTGGGTATTATAAAAATATGGGCTTTTTTGAATTCTTCCTGCATCTTTCTAATGGATAAATGATGAGTGTTGTATACATAAATATTGTTTCTTGTTTGGACGTTGGACTCTATGTGTATGTGAATAAAATGACCATTTTACCCTTCCATTGTGCAAGAAGAGTAGTTACAGATTTGTTTAAATTTCTTGAATGTATACCTTTTTTTTTTTTTTTTTTTTGCTGCAATATTGCTTCAGGGAGCTATTACACACGAAAAAGAGGAGAGATGATGCATGTGATAGATTGCATGATGTGTTAGGGGAATCATGTACAAATGTGGATATCCGGTCAGCAGGTTATAAAAACGACAGCATACCATCCATCTCTTCTCTTTCAGAGGAAGCTGCCCAAGAATTATTCCGGTCAGAATTATCAGAAACAGAAGAACGTTCACAAGCTCTGAGTACAGATGTAAAGAAGTTAAAACGAGCCAATGTCATAATCGATAACTCCTTAAGTCCAGCTCATTCCCTCCTTCAAATCAACTGTGTTGATCACAAAGGTTTTCTCTATGACATCATGCGAGTGTTAAAAGATTTTGATATACAGGTTACAATTTATATTCATACATACATACATACATATATCATACATGTGGCATTTTGTTTAATGTGTTTCTTTTGTGTTTGATAAGTGATAAATGTTGCTGTTTGGTTTTTGAGTTTTTGACAGATAGCTTATGGGAGATTTTCGCCTGTTAACAAGGGGCAACGTGATTTGGATCTTTTTATCAGACAAAGAGATGGAATAAAGATTTTGAATGTTGAGATGCAAGATGAAATCATTTCGCGTTTGAAATTGCAAATGCTACACCCGTTGCGGGTGATTATAACCAATCGTGGGCCCGATATGGAACTTGTGGTTGCTAATCCGGTGGAGTTATCCGGTAGGGGTAGGCCACAGGTGTTTTACGATGCGACTCTTGCGCTCAAGGTTCTTGGGATATGCGTGTTCTCGGTAAGAGTAATATATGTTAATTAATGGGGTGGGGGGTAAAAATGTAAATATATATGGTTTTGTTGCATAATGAGTGATATGTTTTGTAGGCTGAGATTGGAAGGAGGCATTCAACAAGAGAGAATGGTGTATGGGAAGTGTATAGGTTCCTTTTAGAGGAGAAAAGCAAATATAAAACGGCGGTTAAGAATCAAATTGTTGACAAGGTTAGAAGAGCACTCATGGGATGGTGAGGTATTAATTTGTTAAATTTTGTGTCAAGTGTGTCATAAGAATCTCTAAACTCTCAAGACTTGTAATACTTCATGTTTGTTCTATAGTTAGTTGGGAGATTGTGATTTATGTTTTCTATGTTAGTTGTACACGAATTTGATTTGATTTGATTTTGTAGAGTAGATAGAAGATTATGTTTGCCCCTTTTCTCTCTAATTATCTTTATTACTAAAAGATGTTTATAGAAGCTTAGCCATTTTATTTGGGATTACACAAAAAACTTTTTTATTTTTATTTTTGTTATAATCCGTAATGGTTTTGTATTTAAGTGATTTGCTTAGGGCTCTTAAAAGATTCTTGAATTAGACGCTTACAAAGATTGAAGGTCTTACAAAGTTGTCTTTCACGAATTATACTTTAATTTCTGCACTTGTTGCCTTTCGCTATAGATCAATCAGCACTTGTTGCCTTCGCTATAGATCAATCAATTAAGGTCTTCATAACATGGTAATCATATAGTTTTGTCGATTTTGCTAAATTTGACCTGAATTTAGTTTTGGTTGTATGTGAAATTCTTTTTGATTTTGAGTTCATGATTCTATAATAAACCCATGGTTCGATCAAGTAGATGCTTGTATTAGTTTGAAGTCAGATTAGAGGGTTAAAATGGTGTTAGTTTATATGATTGGTAGTGGCTTCAAAGCCACATTTTTAATACAAAAGGGAATGAGATTTATACACGAAAAGAATGAGTTCACTATCATTTTTTAGAATGAATATTCTAGACAATTTATATGGTTAATTGTATGTTAAAAACCTCAAGCAAGAATGTGTGACATTCGCTTTGAATTTTGGTATGTTTTTCTTTGGGGTTGAAATGATTAGTTTAATTTGGATTTTGTATGACATTCTATATTTTTTATAATTATTTAGCAATTTTATTCATATAGTTTTTCAAAACAATATATTATATCCAACACAACAATATATACCATAAGGGTAAAATAGTGATTTTATTATTCAAGATAAATAATCAGAAACATAATCAAACAACATATTTTCAGTCATATGTGGACTCAGTAGTTAGACGTTCTAGCTTAATCAACATCAACTCGGTTAACAACTATCAAACAACCCATTAGTTAGATTTTAGCTTGAACTAGAGTAAATGTTACCTATGTTTTAGAGGGGCGTAATCTATAAATTTTCTATTTGATATGAACTATTTTTGTAATTTTTTAAACATGTGGACTGTTTCTGTAAAAAAAAATATATACACTGATGTTTTCTGTAAATTATGGGGACAATTTTTATAATTTGTTTTCTATACATTAACCAAATTTGTCAAAATAGGAAAATATTAGATATATGGACTGTTTCTGTGATTTTTTTTCATAGGGACATTTTCTGTAATTTACAAGGATTGTAATTTATTTTCCTTCTAAGTACCCAACTTGCTGACATATAAAAGTATTGTGGCCAAATTGAATATTCCACACATGGAAGGACCAAAGGTTGCAATATTCTAAAATCATGCGGCACAAATCAAGAGCACCGTTCTTTTTGCAATTGAAATATATATATATATATATATATATATATATATATATATATATATATATATATATATATATATATATATATATATATATATATATATATATTCAATAGAGAACCATAATCAACCAAGGAATCAATTTTGTTTTTTTTTTTAAACATATTTTTTATCAAAAAAAAAAAAAAAAACTAAAAACTAAAAAATACAAAAATTCATAACTTTTTATCCTCTTTCCAATTGTATGAAATTTGATAATTTTTTTTTCGTCAAATTCACAATGTGAATCTTTGAAAATTCACAATGTGAATCTAAATTAACACGGTGAATCCGAAAAATATATTTAACATTCACGATATTAAGTTATTAATTTAGATATTTTTAGTTATTTTTTTCGATAAAGAATAAATTCTAGAACTGGAAAACAATATTTGGTTCCTTGGAAAACTAATAATTATGGTTATCTATTAAACTTTTTCATATATATATATATATATATATATATATATATATATATATATATATATATATATATATATATATATATATATATATATATATATAAAATAATGTGTAATTTGCTTATTTTTAAAATAACATATAGACAAAATAGTAAAAACGGTTTTCGTGGTTGTAGAAAATATTTGGTTTTAGTTTAAATTTTTTTGTATTTGTTTC